TTAGTTTAGGAGACCAATTTTTGTGTTAGATTATGTAGCATTAGCGGTCTTATTGTACTTTTCTTGGCGGAGCCACTCCAAAGGCTGGGTTGGGTTCCACCTCGGTCTTAATTTTCTAGCTATATAAATTTAATATAAATAAAAAAATATTTTAGCCCACGTTACATTATATTAGCCCATTATTAGTCATATTTTGGTTCAAAATCACTAATTTAATAACTTATATATTTAAACACGATTTAAGTTCCTTTTCCCTTTTTTTTTTTTAAGATTATTATGCTTCTTCTATATCATTCTCGTGTTTATTTTTATTATTTGATTAAATAGATTGTATATTAATAATTTTATTCGAGAAAATTGTTGAATGCGTTAGACTTTCATTAGAATACTTAGTATGTAATTGAATTTATAGATTTTACAATCAAGCTTATATATTCATTGAAGTTTTAAATAAATGATATGTTATTATATGAAATTTACAATTATATCTCATTTATTTATCTGACAAATTCAATGGAATGATATAAGTACTTTGAATGACATGACATATAACAAGAATGATGGCCATTACACTGTTTTATAGTAGTTCTTTGAATAAATTATGGGTTTTTAATTAAAATTCACGTACATGAGAATATTTATCTTTGTACATTTTAAGAAACAATGATGAAACAATTATAAAAAAATAAAAATAAATTGTCATATGTATAAGAAAATAGTTGAAAATTCACAAGTTTTTATTCAAGGAGAATCATACACATATAAAACACGACTAGTTAGAAAATATTATAATTTTTATATTTACTGTGTGATTCATGTTATTTACATTAAATTTAAAAATTATTTTCATACTTTGACTTCTTTAAACATGAGTCTAACTAGATTTTTCGAATCAAATATTTCAAGTTCAAACTCGCGCTCATTTAATAAACGAGTTATCGTGGCTTACCTGTTTAATAAACAAATAAAAATTTGACATTGGGTTCAACTCGTACAAAATATGTTCAATTCATTTAATAAACATTAAAACTTAGAACAAAACCAAAACTCTGACTGAATTATTCGCGAACACGCCCGACTCGACTTGTTTGATAAACAAGCTCGATTAGTTGTTCTATTTTGGCTTGTTTAAATGTACAAGAAAGTCAAGCTCGAACTCTTATAAATTGAATCAAACTATGTTAAAGAATCAACTCAGTTCGAACAACAACAATACATTTTGCAGCCCAAGGTGAAAATTCTTTCTAGCTTCGCCCCTTATTTGTAGGTGTGTGTTATTTTTAAGTGGTTTGTAGTATTAGTCCTAGTTGTATGTGAGTCATAGTCTCATTTAAGGAATGTTTTGTCCCATTTAGTGGGTTTTATTATTATTATTATTATTATTATTATTATTATTATTATTATTATTTTTTTTTTTTTTTNTTTTTTTTTTTTTTTTTTTTGAGTTGTTGCTTCCATATGTAGTTTGAGTAAATCCATGGGATGTGAATTGCTTGTCTTGTATTGCTTTAACTTATTTATATCCTATTTATCGTTTATGTGGAAAATAAAATAGTGTGTGAAGATATAGGTTTATTGTGTTTGTTGCTATTTATAATATAAAAAGCATGTTTAAAAATAATAATATTATAGTTCATTGTGTTTATTGTTGCTATTTTAAATAAAAAAAAACATGTTTAAAAATAATAATATTATAAAGATAATAGTATCTGTGTATATGATATATAGCACCATGATATAACAAATAAAATTATACATAATTGAAAATACCATTGTATTCGGTTTTGTTTTCACAACCGCACCATTTGTCTTATGTTAGGTATTTTTACTATTTTATTAGTGGCAAAGCAATTTTTCGTTGCAAATTCGTAGAGCAAAATCATTCTTTAGAAAATAGCAACACCACTTTTCCACCGAAAATAACATTGAAATTTTGCGTATTTGCCGCTGAAAAGCTTTTTTATTTTAGAAAAAAATTTTACAATAAGTTCATTTTTGAAACATAACAAAAAAAAGTGATAAAAACACTGTCATAGTTGACATAATATACAAATAAATAACATGTCGAAATTTTAAAGAATAACTAATATAATTTTATTATCTAACCATCAATAAAATCATTTAATGATGTGATCATTATCTTTTAAATAATAAATATTATTAATTTTTTAAAAAAATATTAGTGTTATATAATTAAATAAAGGTTAAAAAATATTACTCGACAAATATTAATTATAATGGATATCAGTAAAATCATCGCATAAATTATTTAAGGAAAAAATCTTTAAGATCATATTTGGATAGTAATGTAAATATGCAAGCATTTAATGTATATAGTAAAAAATTTCCAAATAAAGTATGCATTAAATGTGTGTTGACTTTTCTTGCTACTGTTTTTAATAAATATGTTGGCTTTTAATATATATATATATATAGATAAAAAATACGATATTTAATATTGATTTCTAGACTCCGACCAACGTCTAGCGGGGCCTAGCGACTTTTAGAAAAGTAATTTCAAGTAAACTCCGTAAGATATGTCATAAAAAACAGCACAATTACCCCTCACCAAATAAATAAAATGAAATAAAATTCCGCAGTCCCAAAATTTCTCTGATAAAAACTAAAATTACAACACTTCCCATTCAAAACAGTTTGGTTGAATTGATCAAGAACACTCTTTATTCAGTACCCAGCAAAAACAGAGCTTCAACTCCTGTATCTGTCACCTGCAATCTATATATATATAATTGTTGCATTTAATTTTACCTATTTATAACTTTTAAAATTTTCCCTTTATTTTCGGTTACAAAATTTATCATTAATATTTTTTTTTACTTTTCACATTAATACATCCTATTGAGTGTAATCATATATTTTTTCTATTATATTATATAATAGTTATTGCTAATACCAACTAATAATAACTCGCGATAAATATAAATTACATAATTAAAAACAATTGTTTCAAGTTATTTATTTTAACATCAATATTTTTTTTTCTTTTGTGTTCCATGAAAAAAATTCTAGTCAAACAACTTTATAATCTTATAAATAATTGTTTTAATAATAATAATAATAATAATAATAATAATCAAACTGTTATTATCTAATGATAATAAACAATTGTTCATTATAATAAAATCGTTAATTTAGTTTTTCTAATGATAAGATTTTTAAAAATGTAATATGTTCATTATTTAGAATTTTAATATTAAATTCTCAAATATTACTTATAATATTTTATGCATATATGTGTATGTGCACAAGATATTTAGTAGTGTTTATGTAAATTTAGGATGCATATCTGTGTATGTGCACAGGATATTTAGTACTAGTGTTTATGTAAGTTTAGGGTGTGTTTGGATACAATATATCCACTCAAAAAAATATTTATTTTGGTGAGTGAATAAACCTATATCAATGTTGTTCAAACGTTAATAAGGATTTGATGAGTGAATATGAACTTTCCAAAGACAAATCAACATAATTTTCACAAAAGTTCATTTATGTTAGCTATTTGTGTAAAACATACATACCAACAGATCAAAAATAATTTAATTTGTTGAACCAAATCTTGCAATTCAACCACGAGTCAGTACAAACACAATACTAACATTAACCATAAAATTACAACACAAGTTCACAAATCCTAAAATACTCACAAAAAACGTTACACAATCACAATACAACCTTAATCATAGAAATATCACATATATATACTCCTTAAATGCTCAAAGATCAGCCCAAAACGGGACGCCGGTGGCCGGAATCCAGTCGGCTCCACCTATAAAGTTCCTAACCGCAAACTTATTAGCCTCGTTCGCATCGCTCAACACGTGAAAACCGGGCCACCTAACCCTATTCCTAGTAGAAGCCCCACCCCCCGTGTTCATATACTCAGCATAGTACAAAGTCGCGAGCGCGAAATCCCCATCCCACTCTTTCCACCCCTTCTCGTCTACCAATCCATCGAGATCTGTCTTAAAAAACACGGTCCTCGAGTACTTTTTCCACGGCCGCCCTAAATAGCTCTTGAAACCACCCGCAACATCTCGAAACTCGGACGAGGGCACCACTCGGGAGTTTAGGATCGAAATTCCCGTGTTCTCGTTCTGATCGTCCCGGCCTTGCGCCGTGATCATGTTCGATTGGTGGTCCATGGGCCTCCGGACGAATATGTCGCAGTTCTGGAGAACTGCAGCTGCATCACCGAATATGAAGTCGATCGTGCCGTGAATCTGGCATTCGCGGTAAAATTGTCGGAGGGAATGGACGAACAATGTGTCTTGGTAGCCCTTGAAGCTGCACCGGTAGAAGACCGATAGGTCAGAGTTCACTCTCAAGGCCACGGCTTGATGTTTGTGAGGGCCTGCAGTATTCTCAAACGTCATGTCGCGTGCCCAAAAACCATCCCCCGATACACCTTCACATACACATTAAATATATATAAGTCATCAGAATAGTCGAAGATTGATTAAAGAAAGTTAACAAATAAAAATGAGAAATGTATATCCTAATGTTTTATTTGTACAATAAATGTTGCGTGCATAATAGCGCACGAACAATAAGATATTACTGTTTCGGCTAATTCGATCCTGTTGGTGAGGACGTTGCTGGTCAGGGTCGAAACTTTTCTGCTTATTCGGTAAACAGTTAATATACGACATGAAAGAACATTAGTTTGAACATTTTTATCGAATGTGGCATTTCATAGACGACATTAACGAACATTAGGTTGAACATTTTTACCAAATGTAGCGGAATTTAAAGTGGTTGCACCATCTTGTACGTTCTGATTGCCAGTGACGACTGTTTTGTCGATGCCATCACCAACGAACATAATGTCCTTCAAATCCCGTCCGATTTCCACTTTCTCTCTATACACTCCCGATTTCACATGCACCACGACCCTTTCGGGTCGATTTTGCCCCAATCGTCCCAACGCACCCACCGCCTCATTTATCGTCCGATAATTCCCCGACCCATCTTGAGCCACCACAAAGTCAGCCTTCGACTTTTCCGAATCCCACGACGCTAGATTGTCTCCCACATTGTTCAACCCAGGCCTCCTACCTACTATTATATTAACAATAACACACTTTAAGATAAAACAATTAACTTATCTACTAACATATACGTTATCTACTTTACATTCCCTAAAGATGTAATTACATATGTGAAATCAATAAATGTGATCAATATTTATGCTTCAGCTATGCATATATAATTACACAATTACCCTTTCTCTTTCTCCGCCTTCGACTCCCATCCGCCCCGTGAACAGCCAAGGCCTCCCGAATAGCCCGAGTCAAGTTTTGGGCCCGTTGGGCCTCAAACGGCACGCCCCTTTCTCTCAGCCCATCCAAACAAGTCGTGTGGCCCGCCAAGGCCGCGCTAAGCCAAGTGACGACGTCGTCATGGCTAAAATTGCGGGAGACCGTCCGGGCCAGCCTCGGCTCGGCATCCTCGTACAGCGTGATGCAGTCGGTCAGGGCCGATTGGGCCGGGCTCAAGCGATGACCCGGCCCATTAAGAACACGGAGCTCTTGGGCCCAAGGCACGGCCTGCAGCAGGCCCTGCCTGGCAACTTGGACCGTCTCGAGGTGTTTGGCCCAAGAAACAGCGTTAGCGGTGGCTGATAGAAGAAGAAGAAGAAGAACAAGGAAGAAGGTGCTCACAAGAGAAGACATTTCTATATATTTTAATAATTTGTTTGCATTTATGTGATTTAATTGCTCGAAAATAATTTGGTAACTATAAACGAGCATTTTTTAGACGGGGACAAAAATTTTGTGGCCATGTGTCACGTTTGGAAGGTTGTATGTAATAAAATTAGCTTTGCATTTACCGATCAAATTTAAAAAAAAAAAAAGTTTTTCATTTATGAGGAAATTGCATGGATAAGCATCATGCTTCGAACAATGACAAGTAGACGTTTTGCTTGCTAGCTCATGCTATCACCGCTCGAAGTTCAAATTTTTATTTTATGTTATTTTATTTATTTTGTACTCTTTAAATTTTTCCATACTTTTCGCCAAGAGTTATCAACGGGTCGAGTTGAGTTGAGTTGAGCTATAGCTCGAGCTCTGAATACTTGAGCTCGATTCAAATTGTGAAGTTAAGAAGCTAGCTGACTCATTAACGAAGCACTTCTGATGAGCTCGAGCTGACTCATTGAAGAACTTTAATGAGTAGAGCTCGAGACTTAAGAAATCGAATTATGTTAAAAATTTATGAAATTATGTAAAAAAAAAAAAAGTCCTATTTATACAATATAGCAAGTTGAGGCGAGTCGAACTCATGAGTAGCTTGTTCGTTTAACAACTCATTTTGGCCGAATCTATTTATACACGTTGCCTATCTGTTTGAATTATATTCAATTAAGTTATTAATTACTACGTTCATTCTTTATAAAATTACTCATTCTATAAAATATTTTTTTCTAAATAATAAATATTTCAAAATTTTATTTAAATTGTGTTTATTAATTGTCTTTAAATAATTAACGTTTACACAAACAAACTTTTTTTTTTATTATTTATTTATACATATACTTTACTTAAGTATGGGTACACTCTTATTTATAACTCAATTTTTGAAAGTTTTTTTTTGTAAAGATACAATATTAGAAATTAAACCACATAAAACTATTTATAAAGGACTCCATAAATCAAAATACAATGCGATTAGTATAAGTTACAAGTCAACATTCATAATCAATAAAAGTTAATATAACTGTAGTTAAAAATAAAATTTTTATAAATGTGTATATTAAAAGAAATTTGTAGATAAATTGCGCCAATTTTCTCAATTACAACACTGGAGAAATAATGACACCCTTTATCCGTTTCTTTAGAGATTTCACATAATTAATCCCACCTATTATTTAGATGAAACTGCCTTTTTCTGTTTTCATTTATACCTTTTTTTATGGACAATGTTGTGCTCTTAAATATATGGCGGTTATTTATAATTAATACTTAATTTAGAGCAGTTTTTTTATTTCTGATCAGGTTCTCTCTCTTTTATTTTATCCCCGATTTTCTTTCCTTCTTATTCTACTTCCTTCCTTTTGATTTTATCCCCTTTTTCGATTCTCCTTCGTTCTTCTTCTTTTCTCCTTTTTTCGATTTTCCTTCCTCTTCTTCCTCTTTCTCTTTTTCTTCTCTAATCGACAAGATCCTCCCCATCATCTACGGTCGAACCCTCTGATCG